CAACTAAAGGCTAACATATTCCTATATATGTGTAGCTTAACCTAGCCATTTTCGTGTGTGTGATTTGTATGTGAAAGGAGAAAAAAAGTGGCTGTGGACAGTTGCGAATCCATGACCTAGGTTCAGCTAGGGCGGATCGATTGTTGATCATTGACCATTGACTGTCAACAATCAACGATCGTTGTAGCGAGGTCGTTTATTAATATGTAATCAAATAATATTAAAAATTATTCAATATATATGTAAATGCACTACAACGTAAAAATTATATACATATAAAAATATAATTCAATACATCTTCTTAATTAAATTTTTTTCACTTATCCTAAAATTTCCTAAACATAAATGCCCAAATCACAAATCAAAACTCATAAATGATAAATTACAACTCATAACTCAATGACTCACACAACATATATTATTTATCCCAAATCACATATTCACAAATTCACAATTCTCATTTCAAAGTCAAATTGCCAATTAACTTATAAAACATAAATCAATAATTCATAAGTTATGCATGCAATATGAATATGATGCTTCCAGATCAAAACAAATCAAGAATGCTCAGTAGCAACTAGCAAGAGATGAACATGACAACTAAACGATCAAATCTCTCNAGAATGCTCAGTAGCAACTAGCAAGAGATGAACAAGACAACTAAACGATCAAATCTCTCCACTTACTTATCAATTATCATTTATCAACCTCAGTGATCACTCATAACTCAGAAATAAAAAAATAACACCAATCACCAAAATTGAAAAAAAAGAAGAGGACGACTCACTGCTCATGGGTCCGAGTTGTCTCGTCCAAGTTCCGACAGTTCCGGCGGAGATAAGGAGCCCAGCACGGTAGGCTGCAACATGGGAGGTCCGAGATTTGAGTCGTCCAGTACAGTAGGCCGTAGCACCAGCAGGACGTAGATGCGTCGTCCGGTGAAAGTTGGAACGTGGATGAGGGTTTGAAGAACTTTGAAACTGGCCGTAAGTTTTTCTTTTCATCTATGCCTTCAAGTGGTTTTGGTATATATCATAAATGGATTGGATTGGCCAATTGGGCCTGGTCAATTAAAAAGAAGGCCCACAGGCTGTGAATAAGCCCAAACAAGAAGGGCTAACTAAAAAAGAAAAAACAGAAATGGGCAAACCTTACCAGTCCCCGACCATCTTCTTCCTTCTACGGTTCTACTTCCATTGTTCCGGCAGAGCCCAGCACAGGCGGCCGCACCCCCTCGTCGGGTGCTTGGTCCACCACTGGCTGTGGAAATTGGAGGGAAAATGTGACTTGCTTTGGCTTCCAAAAAATTTGCGACTTCATATTGTTTCTTCTCTTCTATTTTGTGCCTTATTCATTGTTTTTCTCGTGCATTTGTGACTTACAAATCAACACTGTTATCATGTCCTTTGTTGGTGGGATTGAGAAGCAACCAAGGTAATTAGTAATTATATTGGTTGTTGGTTAGAGTTGATTGGATTGGTTGTTTAGTAGAAAATGTAACATGAAACCGAGCCCGGAAGTCACTGTTTCGAAGATCTTAGAGCGAGCTTTCACGATAATTGGTATCAAAGGTTTACGGTGGTGGATTTTTTTGCTAGAAAACAATCTGAAAACAGGTTGGAAATCGATTAGAAAACCAGTAGAAATCAGAAAATGATTCTATTCAAATTTTCTTTAAGGCTGTTGAATTTGTTTATGTGTTTCTCGGCCAATCCGATGACCGGTTGGACAAACCAAAACCATTGGCGTGACGTACAGGTGGAGGCGGTCCCAACGGTGTGGTGCGTGTAACCTACGACGGCGTATGGAAACCATGCGCAGGTCACTTTAATGGGGCGTGAGGAGGAATTCGACAATGGTGTCTGCAGGAAGCTTGTTCCTAACATCATTTCTGACATTTTGGTGTTGTTAGTTTTTTGTTTCTGGATATACAGTGAAATTTAAACAATTTTGGCCCTTGTACATTTAAGATACGATCGTGTTTGATTAATTGCTTTAGTCACTGGAGCTTTAGGGTGAATAATGGTGATCCTAAAGTTTGATAAATTTGCATCTCATTATTTATGGACCTAGTTTGGTCTGCTATGATATATCGGTTTATCCTATTTAAATTTCAGCATTAGTGAGTTATCGTGATATATTGGCTTATCTTATTTAAATTTCAGCATTAGTGAGTTATCGTGTGGAATAACATTAGGATTTAGATTACTGTATAGGGTAATCATTGCTTGTGCTAGAAATTTAGAAGTCGTTTGTCACATTTGAAGTGTTGAATTTAATTGCAAGTTGATTGTAACTTTTGTGCTTAACGGCCATTAAGTCACTATGTGAGACTGCATTGTATGAGAAACTAATTTTTGTTGATATACTTTCACATTGCATTGATTATTCTGTTAGAACACATTGACTTGACCCGTTTGAACATTCACTTGACATTGAGATCTCAAATCTCACGAAACTATAGGACTCTAGATATATGTATATTGGGACTTTCGATTACTTTGTGTGACATATTTGTGCACTTTTATTGTTCTATTTTTCAAAATATTTTCACATTTCGAAGTTGGAATTTTCAATTGGCAACAAAGATGAAGGAAATTTTGGTTCAACAAAAAGTTTCAAAAGTCATAGATGACAAATTTCCTGTAAATTTGATAGAAGTACAAAAAGAAGAATATGATAAACCTGCTCGCACTCCAATTATTTTAATAATGTTTTGAGAAAAGTTGAAAAATTTGATTCTACAAAAGAACTTTGAAAATAGTTATATTTGTTTAGTCTACTCCGAATAAGTTGTATATGCTTGAAAGAGTTTTAAGTTTTAAAATAGATCTTTCAAAAGATCTTGACGACAATTTGAATGTTTTTAACAAGTTGGTTCGAGACATTGTTAATTATGATGAAAATGTGCCCGAAATTTATAAGATCATTATTTTGCTGAATTCCATGTCTGGCTTATAAAGGGAGGTTAAGAATGTAATTAAGTATGGTAGGGACACTTTAACATCGAGATTGTCATAGATTCTCTTAAGAGTCAGGAGATGGAGATTAAGGCTGTAAAAGAAGAGAAGAAGAGTGGTGAGTTACTTATGATGAGGAGTAGAATGAAANGTAGAATGAAATTTAAGCAAATGAATTTGGGTAGAGCTCAAAATAGTAGTGATTCGAGTGATGAGAGTTGTAAGAAGAAGGGCAATGGTTGAGACTAGTCTGGTGGTAAGCATGTTATAGTTGTAATAAGTTTGGACATTTTGTGTGGGTTTGTCCCAAGAAAAAAGATAAGAAGGGTAGTGAGGTTTATTGAAAATAAACTTAGTACATGTGCATCTGTGTGTAATCCTTTCTACATGTGTGTGATTGCCTAATTATGTTGCATAATTATATGTTGCATTTCAATGTGTTTGATATTCATTTACATGAATTTGAGAGCAGACTGATTTCTTGGTGTAATGTGTTTGCATGTACAGTAGGTTGGGATGCATTAGCAGTAATCGTGTTGCGTGTCTATTGGTGATGTGGTGTATAGATGTCTAGAGGTACATTGGTTGTATGTACTGGGGATGTAGAGTGTGATATTTGGATCACAAGTGGAGATGTGATTAAATGTCTGGAATCATTTATTTGCAAAAGACCCTATACAGGTGGAGTGTGAGAGTGACACTTTTATCACTTCTGTTAGGTGAAGACCTATTATTCACTTAGGTTTGGAAAAGTGAGGTGGTAATAGAGGATTATTCCATGGACTTAGGATCTATTGTGGTTTACCCGTTAGACATGAGTTAGTAAATAGTCTAGTGAGTATGGTGGGCGATGAGAGAAGATACGTGTTCTCGAAGTGTGAGCAACACGAAATAGGATATGATAAGTGTGGTAAGATCTTTTTATGTGGTCATTTATTCATTTATTGCATATGTGTTGTTGTTTGATTGACTGACATGGTATTAGTATGTTGTTCTGTGTGAACATGTATGAAAATATTAGTGTATTATCCTATGCTATATCTTCATCGCATGTATGATATGCTCTTAATTGATTACTATTCTTATTTGCTTCTACTTGGGTATTTTTTGACCTTAGCCAGTTAGCCCTGGTAAGTACATAGTGGAGGTACAGTATGTGTTCGGATCCAAAACATGAGGTAAGGTCTGTGATCCTAATTTTATTGGTTACCTTAATTATGCAAGTATTAATTTTGTGTTTTGATTGCTTCTAGGTTGATTGGGTATTAATGTGGACATTTTTTGGATTTTGATACCCAATAAATTCCGAGCTATGATTTAAAACATCGAAATATACTTTCATAGGCCTCGGCCAATGGTGAATGGATTATCAACTACTAAGTCCAAAGGCTCGATCTGAAAATAACATAGACCGTTGCAAGTAGTTCAAAGAATTAATATTGCTCACGGTCCATATATTTACCTGTTGGATAACTTTTAATTTTGGTCCATTTAACCTCTTCATTGGTCCAACTAAAGCCTAACATATTCCTATATATATGTTGCTTAACCTAGCTATTTTTGCTGTTTTGATTTGTGCGTGAGAGGAAAAAAAAACGTGGCTATGGAAATTGGAGGAAAAACGTTGCTTTGGCCCCCAGAAAATGGGTGACTTCCTTTTGTTTCCTCTCTTCTACTTTGTGCCTTATTCATTGTTTTTCTCATGCGTTTGTAGCTTGCAAATCAACACCTTTATCTTGTCATTTTTGCGTGAAATTGAGAAGCAACCGTTTCATATTCTACGGGTACATGTTTGGTATGCAAAATAAGTAATTTTTTTTTACATAAAAACAAGAAAATACTAACATATCCAAATATGATAAGAATCTAAAAGTTACTTAAACTTTACTTTTAAGCATAGCCAAATATGTTAGTATTGGAAATCACTAGACACTATCTTAATGTTGTCAAGCACTTAATATATGTTTCATTAAAGAGTAGCAGTGTCGAAAATCAAAATCTTCCTAGTTTACAGCATTTGGTTCAAAGCAAAGAAGACATTTAGCGAAAAGCGGCCTTAAACTGCCAAATACAAACTCCAGGCAATGGACTCCATTTCCTTCCTGTCCATCTTCTTGAGTAGAGTTTGAGATACCGTGTGTTCCTCAGGAGTCGACAAACCTCATTATTCTGTTCGATACAGTTTGTAAATTTTCATTCAATGATTCTTCGTTGCCATCATAATCGTCATCATTTT